TGTCCCCGCAACCCCGGCAGGGTGCAGGTGTCCAACCCAGCCGAGACCCCCTCCTTCGATCCAGGTGTTCGGGCTCCCAGATCCCAGTTGGGCTGGGGCGCCGGCCGGAGAGGAGAGCCCCGCCCGCTTGTCCCCATTCACTGGCGCTGCGGCCGCGGGAGTTTCTCAATGGAAAGCGGGCGGGTCCCCCAGGGGGCGGGGCGCGGGCGAATGCGACCCGACCCTGCGGGGACCTCTCCGAGACGCAGCGCGCGGAATTCGCCGGCGGTTCAGAGCGTCGGAGCCAGCGGCTGAGCAGACTTGGGAAACTCCAGGCAGGGACAGGGGCTCCTCTATTCTGGGGTGAAGAGTTGGGCGCAAAGAGGGCTCCAGGCCAGCGTGGTGGGAGGTGTGCTGTCGAGGAAGCAGTTGGCAGGGAAGCCAGAGCGACCGCAGTCTGCCGGATCTTGGGGCACACACCCCCAGGATGCTGGCCCCTGCTCTCCTCCTCTTACTGTGCCTCGGAGGGCGCGCAGGTACCGCGAAGGGCGAGGGAGGCGGTAACTATGGGGGAGGGTGGTTTGCCAGCTCCCGGTTTTCTGGGCTGATCGGGGCTGAGGGCTCGCACTCCTGGCTCTGAGGGAGCAGGAGTCTGGGAGCCTGGGCTTCTGGGTCTGAGGGAAGAGGGGCTTGGGGACTGAACTCCTGGGTCCTGAGCGAGGGCGCTCTTGAATGCGCTAAGCTCAGCTCTGCTCTCCCTCCATTCTCCTAGGCCCATCACCCCACTTCCTGCAACAGCCGAAGGACCTGGTGGTACTGCTAGGGCATGAGGCCCGGCTGCCCTGTGCCCTGGGCACGTACTCGGGGCTGGTTCAGTGGACTAAGGATGGGCTGGCTCTGGGGGTTGAAAGGGACCTGCCAGGTGAGGCTGTTCTCAGTACTCAGGGAGGGGCTGGCCTCAGCTCCTGGGTGGTGGGCTTCGGCTGTAACTGAAGCATCTATTTTGACGTTTGCGAGTCTGGGAAATGAATGGGCTCAGGTAAACAAGTGGGGGTCCTAAAAGGTTGGTGCTGTTAAACATCTTCCATTGATTTTTAGAGAGAGTGGGAGGGACGGAGGGGGGAGAAAGAGAGAGAGAGAGAGATCGATGTGAAAGAGACACAGCATTGGTTGCCTCCCGCGCCAGCCCCTACCTGAGCAGTGGGTCAAACCTGCAACCCAGGTGCGCTTGCCCTTGACCTTGGACCTTTCAGCACGCAGCCGGATACTCTAACCACTGAGCCACGCTGGCCAGGGCTATCCTGAATTTTTAGTTTATGCTTTGGGGGTGACCCATAAGTTTTGAGGTTTTAATTTTTATTGTAAAATATGACATAAATGCAGAAAACCGCATGAAACATAAATGGGAGATTTGACAAATATCTGTAAAGTAGGCACCCACGAAACCACTACTGGGGTCCAGAAGCCTTTCTTATTGCTTTCCGCTCTCATAGCTCCCTCCCTCTTTACCCCAGAGGTAGCATCTAGTCTCACCTTTATGGCAATTGCTTTCTGGCTTTTTTTTTTTTCTTTCTTTCTGAATTTGTCACCACCAAGTTTGAAGTGACTCTGGATCAGGAGAGCGTTAGTGTCTCCCTGGCCCATCACCCACTTTGGGGATGGGGCCAGGAACTCAGAACTCTGGTGTGACTGCCTCTTTCTTGATTTCAGGGTGGCCCAGGTACTGGCTGTCAGGGAATGCAGCCAGTGGCCAGCATGACCTCCACATTAGACCTGTGGAACTAGAAGATCAAGCATCTTATGAGTGTCAGGCTACACAGGCGGGCCTCCGCTCTCGACCAGCCCAGTTGCACGTGCTGGGTGAGTGTCCAGCCTGCTCATCTTCCCAGGGGTGCCCAGAGGGACAGCCAGTCCTAGCTGGGAGTATCAGAGTCCAGGGAGCACAGAGGGGTGGTCATTTAGAGCTGGGAAGATCAGGGTCTCTGGGCCCAGGATCCAGCTCTGACCCCAGATCCACCCACAGTGCCCCCAGAAGCCCCTCAGGTGCTTGGTGGCCCCTCTGTGTCTCTGGTTGCTGGGGTTCCTGCAAATCTGACCTGTCGGAGCCGTGGGGATGCCCAGCCCACCCCTGAGCTGCTGTGGTTTCGAGATGGGGTCCAGCTGGATGGGGCCACCTTCTACCAGGTCAGATGCAAGCCCCTTTGCCAGCCCTTGCTCGTTCAGGGAAATGTGGGGATTCACTCAGACCACAGGCTCATCCAGAGAAGATAAGGACATGGGAGGGCAGGGACTCAAGGGTTGGGACCTTTGGGGTGTAATTAAGGGTGAGGACTCTAGGTCCATACTACCTGGCTCAGTCACTCGTTAGCTGACTGATCTTGAGTAAAGAACTTAGCCTCTTCGGTCCCTCGGTTTTCTTCTCTGTACAACGAGGGTAATAGCAGCGTGCCCCTCATAGGGTAATGGTGAGGATTAAATACAGCAATACTTCAGTGCCTGGAAGAGAGCCTGACACACAGAGCATATAGTAGGGGGAGATGAATCATTATTATTATTCATAACCCCCAGACCCTGCTGAAGAAAGGGGCCACTGAGTCAGTGGAGAGCATCTTATCCTTGACCCCTTCCAGCCATGATGATGGAGCCACTTTAGTCTGCCGGGCCCGGAGCCAGGCCCTGCCTGCAGGAAAGGACACAGCTGTCACACTGAGCCTGCACTGTAAGTGCAGTTGGACAGGGGCCTGGGACCTGGACTCCAGGGTGTGAGGGAGGAGGGGGCTGTGGACCTGTGGCTCCTGAGGGATTACAAAGCTGGAGGCCTGCCTGAGTCCTAGCTCACAGGGAAGAGGGAACTGGAGATCCACAGTCCTGGGGTGGAGGGGCTGTGAATCAGCCTCCTAGGTCATCAATGGAGGCACTCCAGGTCCCCCAGACCACCGCTGATTATTGGCCCACCTTCACAGACTCCCCAGTGGTGACTCTGTCTGCAGAACCACAGACTGTGCAGGAGGGAGAGAAGGTCACTTTCCTATGCCAGGCCAGGGCCCAGCCTCCTGTCACGGGCTACCGGTGAGGACCACGATCACCTCTCCCAAGCTCGAAGCACAGAAGCGCTGGCTTGGGAAGGGCTGGGGCTGGGACATAAGTAGGTGTGCCTGGGGAGCTGAGGCGACACTTACAGCCCCACCACCTCCGCAGGTGGGCAAAGGGGGGCTCCCCAGTGCTGGGGGCCCGAGGGCCAATGTTGGAGGTGGTGGCCGACGCCTCTTTCCTAACTGCGCCAGTGTCCTGCGAAGTCAGCAACGCCGTGGGTAGCGCCAACCGCAGCACCGCGTTGGATGTACAGTGTGAGCCGGGGCGGCGGTGGGTGTGGGCAGTGAGACCTGCTGGCAAGGGCGGCCGCGCGGGGACTGAGTGGGGCGCGGCCACGACGGGCTGTGGGAGGAGGGGGGCCGGGCATAGGATGTAGGCGGAGTTTGGCTGTGCTGGGTCGACGCCAAAGTGGAGCAGGGGCGGGGCGAGGGCGGGGCCAGGGGGTGTGAGCATAGTTGCGGACTCGGGGGTACCTGGGCCCTTGAGGGCGCCTTTTCTGGGTCAGAATTTACAGCTCTCCCCGGTCACTGGACCCTGCCCTTCCTCTAGTCGGGCCGATTCTGCAGGCAAAGCCGGAGCCCATGTCTGTAGATCTGGGGGAAGACGCTTCCTTCAGCTGTGCCTGGCGCGGGAACCCGCTCCCCCGGGTAACCTGGACGCGCCGCGGAGGCGCGCAGGTAACGCTGCGTCTGGGGCTCGCGCTGGTGGCGGGCAGTGGACGGAGCTTCCTGCCCAGGCTGTGCCCCTGACGCCCCTTCCTGCCCCAGGTGCTAGGCTACGGGCCCACGCTGCGCCTTCCGTCGGTGGCGCCCGAGGATGCGGGCGACTACGTGTGCAGGGCCGAGCCGGGGCTCCCCGGCCGAGGGGGCGGCGCCGCAGAGGCCAGGTTGACTGTGAACGGTGAGAAACCGGCGCTTCCTAGACGGCGGCTCAGGTCCTGGGGCAGGGAT